CGAGGAGGCGCCTTAGGTGTCTCAGCAGGTCATTCGGGGTTAAATGAAAGGGGTTTTAAGCTGCGTGTTTGTCTCATTGGCTGGATGGTCTTATTTTAACAGTCGTTGCTGGCTCTGCCAGTGAACAGTGGAACAAGATGTTAATAGCACAGCTGAGTTCCCACTTACTGAAGGCTTCGAGAATTGCAGGTAAAAGGGTGTTGGGTGGCCTAGTTTGGTTGTTGTTTGTTTTTTTCCCTGGGGTAATTAAGCTCCCAGAAGTTGCTTTTCCAGCAAGGAGTGAGGAGGCTGTTGTTGACTCAGTGGTTACTGAATTATGTCTCTGATCTATTGGAAGGTTGGAAGGACTTTAAAGCTCATCCAGGTCTATGGGCAGGGACACCTTGCACTAGCTCACGTTGCTGAGTGAAGGAGAACCTCCACCCTCCTCTAACAGGGTGACTTGGGCACTTCACACACTGAAGTATGATGTGTTTTTAGCAATGTAATTCACACTTTAAAGGTTCCTTTGCTTTTGTCATTACAACATCACTTTTGTAAGCAGTTTCCTTTATGAGATGACTCTGCCCAGAGCTGTCTGCTGCTTTCAGAGCTGAGCAGAGCTGCTCTGCTGGACAATTCTGCCTCTTAAGTGAAGTTCTTTTCTCCCCCAAGGCCACCTGCTGCCCAGGTCAGTGTCCTCCTTCCTGTGCTGTCGCTCCCTGTCTGCACGCTATAGCACTCAGCCCCCAAACACCAGTGGGACTCACCCTCAGCACTGGCACACTCTGGACCCTGAACTGGAGGAGATCCTGGTTCCCAGGAAGCTCTCCATCAGCCCCCTGGAGAGCTGGCTGACAGTGAGGTACTCCCTGCCCAGAGCAGAAGGTGCTGAGGAGGAGGAGAAGGAAGGCCATGAGCCCTCGCAGCAATATGAGTGTCCCTCACTGGCTGGGGGAGAGGCTGTGGGAGAAGGAGGAGGAGCAGTGGGCAACCCTGTGCAGTGCAAGAATGTCCTGAAGATTCGCAGGAGGAAGATGAATCGGCACAAGTACAAGAAGCTGCTCAAGAGGAGGAAGTTCATCCGGAGGAGGATAAAGGAGGGACGCAAGAAGAGGCGTCAGGTGAGCTCAGAGGAGGGAGGATTCTTTGGGAGAAATGTGTTGCTCACCAAACCAGGCTCTCTTGGGTGTTGGATGATGTTTTCAGGTGGAATTGATTTGGGGGAAAATGGCAGCAGCTTTGGAGAACCTGAAGGAATTCAGTGTTTGGCCTCAAGCTGTGCCAGGGGAGATTCAGGTTGGACATTGGGAGGAATTTCTTCACCAAAGGGATTCTCAGGCATTGGAACTGCCCAGGGAGGTGGTGGAGTTACCATCCCTGGAGGTGTCCAAGGAATGACTGGACATGGCACTCAGTGAGTGCTCTGCTCTAGCTGACAAGGTGGTGATGGGTCACAGGTTAGACTTGATGGTCTCAGAGATCTTTTCCAACCTTAGTGATCCTGGGATTGTAAACGTGTATGTGGTAGTTACTAGGTGTAATTTTCCCTCCATGACAATAACATGTGGTTAATGGAGAACAATTTTAGTGTTTGTGTGCAAGATGAATTCATGTGTCTGTGTTGTATCAGGTTGGTTTCATCTTCATTTCCCATCAAGCAGTGGCTGTGAGGGAACCCCTGAGTGTTGCTGCTGAGCTCTGGTACCATTTCTTTTCTCCCTTAGGTAAAGTTTGAGAAGGATTTGGAGCGCATCTGGAAAAGAGCTGGTTTGAAGAACCCTCCTGCAGGCTGGCAGACCCCCAAGATATTCCTGAAAAGCTCCAGGAGATAAGAACACCTGAAATGAGTTTTGACCTGTGCTTGTCATTAAACAATATCTAAGTAGATGGATTATATGTAACCTTTTTCTGAGTGTGATGAAATCAGCAAGGAGGAGTTTTCCAAGGACAAAGCTCTTCCCCCAGGGAGGTGGTGTGAGTTCTTGTCTAGTGGCTCTGTGCAGTCCTGTGCTGCCCCAGTTGTGTGTCTGAGTGTCTTGGGCTGCAGCTGAATTTCTGAAGTTGTTTAATATTAGACTGAACAATCTGCTGTAAAAAAATCAGCTGTGGGAGATGAGATCTGTCAAAGAATTCTTCTGATTGTATATAAGTCATAGTTAGGAAAAGTTCTTTTCAATATTGCATAATTCCATAGCATTTTTGTGGCAAAGTTTGTGATTTCTAAGAGTTATGGCAAATAGGAACTGGATCATCATCCCACAGAATGTGTCTGCAAAAGCTTTATCTGAAGCCTTGGTGTGCATGTGCCTTAGGCATTGCATGAACATCCTTAAAGGCACATTTATTTTCTGTGTTCTATTTTGTGCTAATAAAAAATTGCTATTTTTTTCTACAGTTGATCCCTGTCATACAGAACATCCAGGTCTTGGTATCAGTAGAACCTCAGAGCTTTTGTGCCCAAGACAACCCTGATGTAACCAGCTGGTTCTGCATGATTGAAACAGAGGGAATTGCAAAGCCTAATCATTCAGTTCCTTATGAGGTGCCAGTGCAGGTGAACTCTTGTGGCAGTGATCCTGTCAGGTTTGGGTACTTGTGTGCTGCAGTGCAAGTCTCCGTGAAGCCAAGGAGATTATTAAATGCTGTGTTTTCCAAGGAGTCCAAATTGTAGCCTGCCAAGAATGGTCATTACTTTTACATCTATTAGACATAATTACACACCCAGGGGTAGAAGTCTGGAACTACTGTGGCATTTGCAGAAGTGTCTGGAAACCATCCATGGCACTTAGTGCTAGTCCTACAAATGCTGTACTTCTTTTTACTGGAGTACCTCAAAGCTTAGAATCACAGAATGGTTTGGGTTGGAAGGAGCTTAAAGATCATCCTGTTCCACCCTCTGCCATGGGCAAGGATACTTTCCACTGTCCCAGGTTGTTCCAAGCCCCATCCAACCTGGCCTGGAACACTCCCAGGGATGGAGCAGCCACAGCTTCTGCGGGCAACCTGTCCCAGTGTCTCACCACCCTGACAGGGAAGAATTTCTTCCTAACATCTCTCAGCCTTTCTATTTTCCTGTGGCAGATGCTGCAAAGACTCTGTCTTAGGTGGCACCCAGGAGATGTTACACACCCGAGCTGTATGAACTAACTTTAACTCTCTTGACCACAGGAAGCAGTTTTAAACTCTCCCTTTGCTAAAGAGACTCAGAGAGATGAAAGCTGCAGCTGTTGTTCTGTAGAGGGAGCCATGAGTACATGATATCCTACTCACAAAGCTTTGTTAGGAGCTGCAGTTCCTCTCCAAAACACGTTCATACCAACACGTCTACACACGTGGTGAAATATGTGGCTGTGCCTATGTAGCTGTGGTAACAAAGGCTGCAGACAGGAAAGGTTTGAGGGTTTTGATTTTCAGAATAAGACTTGAAGGTTTATCTGTCATTATTTTTCTGTGCTGTTTGGAAATGATTGAAGGTCAGCAGGAGGTTGGTGGACAAATTCATGCTCTTACAGATTGGAGACAGCCAGCAGGATGGTGATTTGGTGTCAGTAATTGGACTGCAAAGATGCCTCAAAACAGGGGTATGACCCCAGTTTCTCTCATGGTTATATCCCTGATCCTTGGACTGTGTTTTCAGGAGTCTTGTCTAGGAACTGTGGTGTTGAGTTGCATCAGCATGGATAACTGAAGTGTTTGAGATGCTTTTGGAAACCAAATAACAGCCACACAAATTAATCCAATATAGCTTACAAGTAACAGCTGGGAATGAGGCCTGACTCTATGGGAGAGGGAGTAACACAACAGAACTGCTTCCTGCTGCTTTCTCCTCACTGTTGTGTGCTCTGACACAATCCAAGGTAGGTTTGCTTGGCACAGGGATGCAAAAACCTGGATCAGCTGCCAGTGCTTTGCATAGTTAGATGATTACTTAGTGCTCCACAGTGGCAGAGATGAGGTGCAGCAATGGACAAGAGCTTTGTAGAAGTTAGGCAGAAGCAGCTTGATGATGCTGATGGGGAGTGGAAAATTAGCTTCAATTAACTTTCCATCAAGGCAGCAACCTCTGCATTTCAGTGCAAATGAGGAAGGTTTATCCCTTTGGTACTAAGTATTGCAGCCCAAATGGGTGGAGAGTAGAAACACTTGGTATGTCCCTTCCAACCCAAGCCATTTTGTGGTTCATGTATATTCATTCTTAGATATACATATTCATGTGTATAAATTGCAGCAGCTCAGCAATTTGGCTTTGTCTCTTCATGCACGAGCACCTTTGCTGGTCTGGGATCTGTGGAAGAGATTTTTTTAGCTCTGTGGCACCCATTGCTCAGTTCTCCACAGGAACTGGGAATTGTCTCATGTAGTTTTGGCTCACTTCAAGTTAATTCTATTCAACTCATGTTTGAGTTTGTCATGGGAAAAGGGAAAGTCTAGCCTTAACATACTATAAAACTATGTCTTAATTGTAGGAACTGTTGTTCTTCCATTAGTTAAGTCTTAAAAAAGTATATTAGCCCATGTCAGGGAAAGTTTCTGAGCATCTAGTGTACAAAACCCTTTTCAGGGGATTAATAGGACCTGACAACCTTTGCCCAGTAACTCCTGAGCAGAAACAGTGTGTGCCTTGACTCTGGTGAGCTAATCCCCACCTTAAACAGGCACTGTCAACACCTTGGTGTATGTACTTTGGCTCCAGTAGCTCTGACTTGGTCCTCCTCAAATCCTGAAGCCAGTTCTGCTTCAGTGGGTCTGATCCCTAATCCAGGTCTTCCAGATTGAATAGCCCATCCTTGTTTCCACTGGGTGAAAACCTGGCTGAAAGTGATCTCACCTGATCCTGCAAACAGCACCTGTGGCTACCTGAACTGGCATCTTTTCTTTTCCCCTTTCATGCTGCTCTGCTGTTGGCATTGCTGTTGTGGCTGTGAAAACATCCTGGTTTGGGTTCATTTGGGCTGAGCCTCAGCAGTTAATCTCCAAAAATAACAGCACTCTGTACCCAACCTGGAGCAGAGCTGAAATGGGTTTGAAAAGTGCCTTTTGTTTTTCCCACTGATTTTTAAACAAATAAATAAACTATCAATAACTGTAGCTCTTATAGACAACTGAGCTAGGTCTGAGCAAGCACAGTGTGCTGGTTTTCCTGTGGAAAGATCCGTTCTTGCTTGCCTTGCCCTAGGAAATAGAGGGACAAAACTGAAACAAGGAGTTCTGTGAGTCAGAGAGTTCAAGAAAACCCTCTGATACATCACTTTTGCGTCAAATCCCTGAAATAAGGATGAATTTTTCAGTCTTGCTCACTGCATGGGCACTAGAAACTATAAACCCAAGACTTACCCTCTCAAATTTAGCTGAAGTTTCCTGTTTTGTTTCAAAATAATGGGAAGAAGAAGGAGGTCGAATGGGCAGTGGGACCATAAAACTGCCTGTGCCTTGTTTCCTTGGGAAGTGTGGCTAAAATGTTGTTTAAAAGTGGAAAAATAACATGAAATATTGGTTAAAAATTAGGTTGTTCACTCGGTGCTGCTCAGGCAGGTCTTGTGCTGAGGAGTGTCATTGCCTTTGGTGTGTGGAACAAACACTCCTGGAGCCTCAGCACTTGGAGCACTTCAGTCCCACTTCCACTTGCAGAGTGATTGGTGTTGGGACAAGGATGTGGAGTCCTGAGCAAGGAGTCAGCACAGCAGGTACACAGCTAATAGCTTGGAATTTGTGAGGTTTATTTTAAGGGGATTAATAGTTCATGCCTCTGGCTGAGCTTTATCACCAGCCAGTGAGGAACTGGTTAAAGCTGAAGGATAAGCAGCCTTAGAAGAAGGTGCCAAATGGGAAAAAAAAAAAAGAGGCGTAGAAGAAACTCCAAGAGTTACAGTCAGCAAAGTGTGTGTGAGCAGCACCACATTACTCACCAGCCCAGTCCCTGGGTGCTCTTGAGTCAGACACAGCATTTCACTGCTGTCAGCACTGAGCCAGCCCAGGATGGAACATCCAGCTGGACTCTGCCCAGCAGCAGGATCAGCAGGTACATCCTGAGGGCAAAATCTGTGACTGCTCACCCAGGCTTAGCAGCCCTGACCACTCATCCTGTTTGAGTCTCTGCCCAGGAGATGCTGCTGCTGCTTAAGGTCTTTTCTTGTTGCTTTCCCTAGGTCTGAGTGGGCATCTCTGTGCCTCATTCCACTGTGATGTGGGAGAATGGGCTGTGGTGGTGTTGGCATCCTGACACCTCTGAGGACTTCTGCAGGTCCCTAGGAAGGTAGGACAGAGCTGAATGTGTCCTACTTTCTGAGAACATCATCCCATGGGGAAGGGAAGACAGGAAAGGATTTTTTTCTCGGTGTAATCTGTGTAAAAACCTGTTAGTGTGAAAAGAAAGTGAGTGGAAAATAACCATCTCTATGCCTTGGGTGCAGCACCTTCTCCTGGAGGGATTCTAATCATGGAGCTGGGGAAGGGGAGCAAACAAAAACAGCTTTCAGTGCAGGAACAGCTACCTCTGGAGCAGAGCTGCCAGGGCAAAACCACCTGAGCAGCTCCACTTGGCACTGATGGAGGAATATGCATTGCCACATGTGTTGTCCCTGGGACTGGGAGCTCTCACTTCATCTCTAAAGGAGGCAAAGCAAGCAGCACCCTACTTTTTTTTAAAAGCTTTTTTTAGACTTTATGGTTTCCAGAATCCTCTTGGATTGATCCTGAACAAATAAATACACCAGTTGTGTGGGCTACCCTTAAAAGTTGGCCAGGCTCCATGTTGGTGTGTCTAAATCTAGCAGCAGGATTATATTGCAACCTCCTTTCACCCAGAGTATTTTAGTTTTAAATGCAAACCTGA